CCCTTTTGAATTTCTTTTCCTCGACAAGGTGAAAGAGACATGCAAGAGAAATTTTGATGAAAAAATCTAATGCTTTTTCAAGATGAAGAGTTATTGTGTTGAACAGAGAAAAAAGACTGAGTCTGTACCCGGGAGTGAAAGACGGGAGATTGCAAAAAACGGTCGTCCGATCATCAAATCGAAGTGTGCAGAGTGTGGTATTACAAAGGTAAGGTTTCCTAGTGAAAAAAAAGGTGGGGCGCTCTTTGATGATGTAGGAAGGACCAGTACTTCGCTGTTAGAGATGGGGATGAAGGGGTTGGCTAATCTCGGACAGTACGGTCTTGCAAAGGCTGTCAATTCTAACTATGGAAAGAAGAAGATGAAGCAGACAGCAAACAAATATCTCGATCAAGCTATCGATTCTTTTGCTAACGATATGAGTATAAAAATCGGACGAAGTGTTTATGATGTTAATGAAGTGTTACCAATGTCAATGTATGCTCCCGATTGTGTTAATGATCCAACACACCCACTTTATGAAGGAGGATCCTTCGATATTCACAAAGCTATCGGAAAACTACCAAAACCGAAGAAGGGTTGGACTCTTCCAGGTCATAAGTATACAGGACCGTACAACGACCTTGCAAATCAGGTACGATACAACCCAAAGATGGGTGAGATTTTGGAGATTTTTGATAAGCCAACAGGACCGACTGACGCTGTCGCTATGCAACATGATGTTGATTATAGTGTCTGTGCAAATAGCACTAACCCAAAGTGTAAGAATGCGGCTGATCGGAAGATGGTTAAAGCTCTCGATGCGATTCCATTCTCTGAGAGACAGTGGGGTCATTGGGTTGCGAGAAACGTTATCAACACCAAGCAGAAGCTTGGTCTGGGTGTGGGGAAAAAAAAGCTCAGAGTTGGCAAGACGAATTAGCAGATGAGTTTCACAGACCGGTGAGGCGAAACTTTAGAAAACGACGCGTTATTGTCAAAGGAATCGATGAGATTTGGTGCTCCGACTTGGTTGAGATGCAAAAGTTTGCAAAGTGGAATGAGGGTTTTAGGTATCTGCTTATGGTTTTGGATGTCTTCAGCAAATACGGTTGGATCGTTCCGTTGAAGAACAAGAAGGGTGAGAGTGTTTCGGAGGGGTTCAGAAAGATTTTCGCTGAAGGGAGAAGACCGAAGAGACTCTGGGTTGACAAGGGTTTGGAGTTTTACACCAGTCATGTTAAAGATCTGATGAAAGCTGAAGGTGTTGAGATGTATTCGACAGAGAATGAGGAGAAATCGTCTGTCTGTGAGAGATGGAGTCGAACGATCAAAACGGAGATGTGGAAGCAGTTTACCATTCAGAACAACACACAGTATCTCGACATTCTGCCAAAGATTGTCAAAAAGTACAACAATCGAAAACACAGATCAATCGGCATGACTCCGGCAGAGGCTTCCAAGAAAAAGAATGAGAATGCCGTCTTTCTGAAGCTCTATAGCGATCTGAGCGAGTTGCGAGAGAGACCAAAGTTTGCGGTTGGTGATCACGTTCGAATCTCCAAATTCAAGCGAAAAGTGTTCGACAAAGGATTTACCCCGAATTGGACAGAGGAGATTTTCGTCGTTGACGAGGTGCAATATTCCAACCCGATCACTTACAAGTTGAAGGATCTGCTCGGAGAAGAGATCAAAGGTTCTTTCTACGAACAGGAGATGTTGAGAGCAAAGCAGGATGTTTTCCGCACTGAGAAGGTAATTCGAAGGAGTAAAGGGAAAGCTTTCGTGAAGTGGAGTGGTTACCCAGAAAAATTCAACTCGTGGATTGATGAGAGTGAACTTCAGGGGGTAGGTCCTGCCTGAACAGTCGGTTTCATCACTCGTTGTGAAAAAAAAGTTAAAGATAGTTAAAAAAATGTTTGATATAAAATAAGATGAATGAGCTTGACACTCTTTCAAAGCGTGCACTCTTGAGAAAGGCTAAGGAGATGGGACTGCAACGATGTTATTTACTTGACAGATTAGAGTTGATTGAGCTGATCAAAAATCCTCCCGTGTTGGATTATCTTAATACTCTGTCAAGAAACGAACTCCTCGAAAAAGCAAGAGATTGGATTGCAAGGATATTTCAAGAAGAAGAAAGGAGAGTTGATTGAACTAATCAGAAATCCTCCACCTCCTCGCTCAAGATACACTGGTGTGAAGAAAAAAGTAACACTTCAACCTACAGATTCAGAAGGGGAAGAACTCGTTTTCCCCTCAATCAGTGCTGCTGCGAAACACTTCAATGTAAACCCTGGAGTGTTTGGAGCGAAGCT